ATCACTTGTAACATGAATGGGAGGGGTGTATGGAGCCATCATCATTTCTGCTGGTAATGAGTATCTAATCTCCACAGTGACTGTGCTCATGTCCAGGTTATAATCTTCTTGTGCCATTGCAACAAGTTCAGCATGTGTTGAATCTTCATTCAATAAAAACAATCTTGCTCCTTTGAGATCATCAACCACAAAATCCCAATGACAATCTTTCAACAACCATTCTCCATACACTGCATGTAACTGACGAATCATCTGCAAAAATTAAAAATAAAATACATTAGTAAACATAGAGAATTTCATAAAAGTTTACTAAACATCGTCTGGACGACATACCAGTAAGTCGCCCATTGAGGTCATTTTTGCAATTGAAATTTAAATGGGACGACTTACTTCTAAGTCGCCCAGCTTTGTTTGTTAAAAAAAAAACGCCAGACGACTTATAATTAAGTCGTCTAGGTAAAACGGGCTACTTTTGCATTTGACCGAATTGTGTCAGATATTTGACTTTTTTCTGGACGACTTAAAATTAAGTCGTCTATGGGAAAGTTAAAATATCAATATTTTATTTTATCCAGACGACTTACGGATAAGTCGTCTCAGGTTAGTTTTGCAATTCAAAAATAAAAATTAAATTTTTTAACTTCTCTAGACGACTTAATTAGAAGTCGTCTGATCAGAAGACTTATGTTAAAGTCATCCAGGATTAGCAAGGTTTGACCAGAAAACTCGAAAAATATTCTGGACGACTTTGATTATCCTAGACGACTTTAACCTAAGTCGTCTGAGCGGTCGACTTTTAATTAAGTCGTCTGGAGAAGTTAAAAGTTTTATTTTTGAATTGCAAAACTAACCTTAGACGACTTATCCGTAAGTCGTCTAGATTTAATAAAATATTGAAATTTTAACTTTCCCAGGGACGACTTAATTTTAAGTCGTCCAAAAAAAGTCAAATATTTGACACAATTCGGTCAAATGTAAAAGTAGACCGTTTTACCTAGACGACTTAATTATAAGCCGTCTGGTGTTTTTTTTTAACAAACAAAGCTGGACGACTTAGAAGTAAGTCGTTCGTCTGACCAGGAGACTTATCCGTAAGTCTTCTACATCCAGAAGACTTACGGGTAAGTCTTCTACGCGAAGAGATCTGGAAAAAAATTCAATTTCAAACCTTAAACTAGGTGAGATGACTTCCTTTGCACACAGAGTCTTCTCCAACCACCCAGAACATCGAACGAAAGTAACCCACCAACAATTGTATGCTTAAATAGCTCTATCAACCATAAAAATTTTGCTATCAAAAGCTTGGGGTTTTGGTATGAATATGGAGACAAAGTGAAGGAGATGTTGTTTTTAGTTCATAACAATTGAGAAAGAGAGTACGAGTATCGATTTTAAGTGCATTAAAAGCTTTAAACCTTGGTTGTACAAGGTTGTTGGGTTGTACAAGGTTGTTGGGTTAGTACAAGGTTGTTGGGAGTATTCATGGCAATGGCAATGTTGTAAATACTTGAAGATGATGAGGTTGAGAGAGTAAAAAGGCAATTTTCGAAAAAAGTAAAAAAAAAAATTAATGGCATTTTCGTAAATAAAATGAAGATGTGGGGTGGATAGGACAAAAGCAAGATGAGTTAAAAGAAGAAGTTAGTTTTGTGTTTGACTATGAGTTTTGAGTCAATTTTGAAAAAAACCCTATATATATTAGTTTTCTAGTGAGAGAGTAGAGAGAGATACGGAGAGAAATGAAGCGAGACCGGGGAAGTGTTTGTTAGTTAGTGAATTTTGATTTTTTTTAATGCTATCTCACCTAATTTCCCTATTTTGTAAGCAAGAAAATTAATTTAGTAATTAAAAAATTTAGAATATAAGATAAATAAACAAAATAAAATATTAATGATAAGAAAAAGTCTTAAAAGAAAGAGAAAAAGATAAAATCACATATTCAGTTTATGCATAGTAGAAAAAGTTCTCTAATAAATATTTTTTAGTTCATCCCTAAATTGAACATGTCGGTTCACCAATCAATATAAATCTGTCATTTAATATTCAATTTTTGAGAAAAAAAATATTTGCCAAATCTTATTATGTTTTTAAAATTAAAAGGTAAAAAATAGTATTAAGTGTGATTTTTTTAATGTTGTTAAAACCGTCAACAAAACACTAAATCATAAATTTTAATCACTAAACTATAAATCATTAGATAAACTATAAACCCTTGGATAAATTCTAAACATTAAATCATAAACACTAAATCCTAAACGCCGTCGGAAAAACTCTAAATTTATATCCTTAATCCTAGGATTTAGGATTTATCCAATAGTTTAGAGTTTACCCAAATGTTTACGCAATGGTATATGATTTAGTATTTTGCTAACCGCGTTAATAATACTTAAAAAGAATTTGTAATTATTACTATTTTGTATTTTTTTTATTATTTTATTTTAAAAACCTAATATCATTTGAGAAGTATTTGTTTCTTTTTTTTTCAAAAACTGAATATAAAATGATTGATTTCTATTGGTTGGTGAACCGAAGCTATTGGTTCACCCCCCCCCCCCCCCTAAAAAAAATCATATTAAAGTGTGTCTTTTACTCAGAAGAAAATGTGACAAAGTTTCTTAGTAGGTAAACAATATATATTTTAAAAACCACATGTTCATTTTGCTTGGTTAATTAATATTAGTTTGGCTATAGAAAATTGTATAGATATAGATCAGATTAATTATTTAAAATAATAAAATATTCAGGTAGACCAGATTTAGAAGTGGTAAATGATTTATCAGGAGATCAAATGTTGTCCTGATTAAGTTTCTAATCGTAGCATATGTCAAATGTGATAGCCTTGCCAATGCTTTGAAACTGTACAAGGACACGATAAAAGGACACTATACCTTGCACTGCTATTAGTACAAGGGACTGGTTCTTGCAACAAAGCTCCTGGATACAGTATTGTGTATTGAACAGAAAGCTATAAGACAACAATCTCAACAAAGGTTTTAAAGACACAATGTAGCACAAATGTTTTAACACCGAAGTTAAGTTAATGAGACCATAAATAAGCACCTTAAGGTCTCAGGGAATCGCAATATAAACAGCAATATGTTTCAAGATATAGTCCGCTTTTGTAACAACGCATATCTTAAGATAATGTTTCTATTGATTCAAAACAAGGATTACAAAAGAGAGCCTTTCACATGAGAGACTCTTCTCTCTTTACAACCACTTGATCAAATCACTGATATCTCTCCCTATACTCTTGCTTATACACTAATTAAATACTTACAGTACCAATCCTACCCAACACATCACCCAATACTTGTCCCTTATGCTTATCCCTATTCCTTATTCTTTATGTCCTTCTAGAAGATAGCCAGCACACCTTCTCCTAAAACCTCTTCACTCTATTACTTTTGTTTGGCCTTTCCCTTTCTTCTGCTGTACTGATGCAAGAGAGGTGGTCGCTGGGCCTCTACCGTATCAGCTTTCTCTTCGGCAATGGCGTCCCAACGCCTTATTGTTCCGTCCTCGCAGGCAGCAAGAATTGTGCTAAAATGCCATAGAAAGAAAAAAAAAACAGAGTGTGTCAGGAACCAAATGCTTTGCATTTTGTTTGGAGTTATTACTGAGTCATAAAATAATGAAGTTTTCCAATGCATTGTGAGAGATGATATATTTACGTTCCATCAGTGGACATAGCGGTTTGCCTGATCACAGAGTTTGATTGTTCGTGTGATAACCTATATAGCAACAGAGAGTCATGTCAAGAATACAACAAAGACACCAAAGTGAAGCTTTAATCATTTGGATTAAAATTGTGTGTGGATCTAAAAGTAACTTACACTGTAACCAAAACAGGAGGGAAACTCTTTAAATCCCAGACATATATCTTGCCTTCCTGGTTCCCTGATGGCCAACCAACCAAGAATGTTTCAAAAAATTCACAAGAAAAGTTTCAAGTATAGATTAGTGTATATATTATAGCCTTTTGATCATCACCTATTGATAGATAATTGAGAAAGAAATCGCAAGAAAACTTGATAAACCAGATATTACAATTTGGAATAGGGTATCTAAGTATAACCTCTGAAGTACCCTGCAAAAACAACAACAACACCAAGAACTTTAATATGCATCCTATTTCATTAACTAAATCACTCTGTTGTGTATGGCGTAGAAATGAGACCCTAACCTCTCCAGGAGAATTCTCTTTCACTATTGGTTCCCACAACAGTATCTCATTCTCCACACTCTAAAATTCAGATATATAGAGATAGAACACTAGAGTAAACTTTCGGTTTTTAGCTTATTCCACCAAATGAAATATGATCTTAATAAATCCATTATTGACTCCTGGACTAACCTTTGAAAGAATAAAATCACCAAACCAACGGTTACAGTCAACAAAATTTGTATGAACCGAAGCTGTATGCACCTACACATAGAAGTAATGTTCCATCAAGATGTGTATGTCATTCGTTACACATACAAGGACGAAGCAAAATAAAATACTTACAGGGAATTGTACAAATTTTGTTGGGAACTTTGATGGATCATCATCCTTCCATGTGAATGAGTCCTCGACATATGTCCAAAACTCTGAAGGCAGCCAAAGAATAATAGAGAGATCATACCAAGTGAAAGATAAAAGGAAGTTCATTTCAAGTTAACTCGTACCTTTCATTGACCATATCTTAATAGTTTTGTCCATACCACAACTAATAAAACGGTGCTCATCATTCGGTTGAAAGTCCTACAAATTTACAAGATAAGATAGTTATACTTGAAAATGTCTTTATATATTAAGTGAAAGAACCATATTGGCTTACCACACTCATAACTTTGTTTCGATGACCGCCAGTTCCAGCAAATATCAGAATACATATCCCAGTTTCAACATTCCACAATCGAACAGATTCATCCTGGTCCAATCAAAACGTTGTTTTAAGCTTTTAAACCTCAAAGCAAATAAATGAACATCAGGAGATTATAGAGAGAAGAGACATTACCTTGCTAGCAGAAAGCACAAGTTGAGGTTTGGTAACATTTGTCCTGATTTCATTCACTGAATTCCCATGGCCCACAAGGCTCTGCGTACGTGCGAGCACGGGTTATACACGAGAAAGAAATCGAATCACTTTATCTTAGGATACACAGAACATCCATAAATTCTTCAAGTCAGTCTAAAGCTGATAAAAATAATAATAATATACCTTATGAATCTTTTCATTGCCGACGTCAATGACTCGGATTATGCCTTTCTCTCCTCCAGCGACAACAAATGGGTTCCCTTTAACGCCACACGCCCAGCTTACAGTGTAAAATGACTCCTCCTTCTGATCACCAAAGCACAAACATATATATACCCAATGAAACGTTGCTGCTTTTTTTTTTTATTTCATGGAAACTATATGATATGAATACTTCCTTACATCTTCATCAGCGTAGGATTGCAATGGAGCTATTCCACCATCTTCAAGACAGTTGTACACATTAATCTACATAATAAGAGATAAACCCAATGGCAGTAATTAATGAGATTCATGACTCAGCTCAGTAAAAGGTTAAGACAGAAAAATTAATAGCAAAAACTTTAAGCTAAGACCGTTCATAGTTAATCAAACTAAGTCTACAGTTTGAAAAGGAAGCCATCACAAGCAAAGTTTCAATTTTTCAGACAAGTGAAGAAGAAAACTTTACCCTATTTCCACAAGCGGAGACGAAGACACTGAAGAAACGAGAATCAAGGAAGTTAAAAACAAGAGAATACACAGGGGTCTCCCCGTCTCGAATCTTGTTGGTCAGTTTGTAAGATTTCTGGTTCGATGGAGTCAAAGACCCAACAATTGATTCGGTCCCTAAAGTTATCTTCGGCATTTCAAATCTCTCTTCTCTCTCTCTCTCTCGGACAGTACTGCTCTTGTTTTATAAAGCCATGCAAGTCTCATGCAAGAACAAGTCTTTGTACGTGTTTGCAACAGCAAGTCCTTGAAAGATTAACAAGTCTTTGTAACAACTAGTCTTTGCAACAACAAGTCTCTCGGACAATTACGGGTTTACAGAAATTACAGAGATAGTAAAATATTAAAGTAAACCATATTTAGACATGATCGGAAATTTTGAAGTTGAAATGACACCTAATTTGTACTTAATATTACAGAAATCGACATTAAAACTTTCAACGTTAATTTGTACTTAAGCATATACTTAGTGCTAGTTAGTTGAAATGTAATATTCACTATTATTGACTGATGTGGACATGATAAAATATGAAAAATCTTTCATATCTAGTATCTGATGAAGTAATCTTAGAGATATATCTATTGACAAACTCCTCTTTTATTGATTCACTTGATAACATTTGGAAGAACAGAAACACGTAATTACATTGTTATCATAAATCTTAATTATTTTTACTTTTAATTCATTTAATTAATACAGTATTAATCTCATTGATCTTTGTTAAAGACAAAATTGTTAACCTCATTGTCTGTAAATTAAGGGGGGAGGGGGTATTTAAATAAATATGTATGAAATGCCAGGTAATTAATTATAATTTAAATTAAAACAAAAACAGAGGATCAACATGGACGGTGGACGTGTTTACAGAAACTACAGAAATATTCAAATAAACATGTTTAGACATGATCGGAAATTTGAAGTCGAAATGATACAAAATTTGTACGTCAATTAGTATTACAGAAATTGACGTCAAAACTTTCAACGTTATGGTTTACAGAAATATTAAAGTAAACCATATTTAGACATGATCGGAAATTTTGAAGTTGAAATGACACCTAATTTGTAACTAATATTACAGAAATCGACATTAAAACTTTCAACGTTTATGGTCCAAGCATATACTTCGTGCTAGTAGTTGATATGTAATATTCACTATTATTGACTGATGTGGACATGATAATATGAAAAATCTTTCACAGTATCTAGTACTGATGAAGTAATCCTAGAAATTTATCTATTGACACCAATCACCATCTCTTTTATTGATTCACTTGATAGTATTTATAAGAAAAACACATAATTCCATGATTATCGTAACTTAATTATTTTTAATTTTAATTCATAAAACTAGTACAGTATTAATTTCAATAAATCTCTGTTAAAGATAAAATTGCTAACCTCACCGTCTGTAAGGAAACGGTAATAACTTGAGGATGGAAAAATCATTTCTTTTTTGCAGTTAACTCTCTCGATATATAACCATGAAATGCCAGCTAATTAATTACTCCCACCATTACAAAATAAGTGTCGTTTTCGGTTTTCAATACAAAATTTATTAATTTTATTATGTAATTTTATTATAAGTGTCGTTTTCGGTTTTCAATACATATATTAAGATTTTGTTATAGTTGTAAACATTTATTAATGTATTATATAATATATTGTCTATATTGACACTTTTCATGAGTTCTCTTCCTATATCAAACATTTTTAATATGTCTCACTATTTCTATCATTTATTTCATAACTCAAAACCATTTCAAGACATTTGTGAATGGAGAATTCATTCAAATATCCTTCATTTCATGTTTTTCTTCATTTTAAGACATTTGAGAATAGAGAATCCATCCAAATATCCTTCATTTCATGTTTTTTCTTCATATATGAAATATGTTTTCATGTCTCACTAAATTTACCCTTATTTATCGACATATAGTGATATCAAATATGTCGATATATCATCATTCTCATGGTGACATTTAATGGATGAGATATGTTTTGTTAAGAAAACACTACAAGAAAACTCGTCCTTTACTAGGACGAGTTTTCCTCATTATTTCCTAGTAAATGACCATTTACTAAGAACTTACGAGGAAACGCGTTTCGTCAAAACACGTTCATCGTAAAACCTTTTTCCTCGTAAGGTCCTAGCTAATTTATGAGGAAACCTTTCCTCGTAAACACGTGGATAACTTTTCCTCGTAAGGTCCTTGTAGTGTTTCCTCGTAAAGTCATAGTAAATCATTTCCTCGTAAGCTCGTAGTAATTCATTACGAGGAACTTATTAAAATACTTTAAGAGGACCTTACTTCGAATTCTTTACGAGGATTTTTCTTCGAAATATTTTTTTCCCTATTAAAAAAATATTAATTATAAATATAAATATAATATTTTAAAAAAATAAAAAACAAATTATAAGTAAAAAATAAATAAAAAATATTTTATAAATAACTAAATAATATACAATTAAGTTTTAAAATTCCTAATATACAATTACAAATAAAAAAACTACGGATGGTGCTCGTTAAATTGCCGAACGAAATCGTCCTGGCTCGCCAAATCCTCCTCTTCCAAGTTGGTTGCCGGCTGTGACTGGGATGGTGGAGGCTGTTGGGTTGGAAGCCCTCCGCTTTCCCGTCTCTGACGCAACATCTCCGCCAATTGCGGGTTCCCAACCGCCAAAATATCCAAGACATTGGTGAGAGAACTCACATGATCGGTGAACGAACTCGCATGAGACTACGTCGCCTGCAACTCCGAGCGCAGCTGAGCATTGACATCGTGTTGTTCCTGAGCATAGGACGATGTCGCTGTGGGGACATCGTTAACGGAGCCAATCCCGACGATACGCCCTTTTTTCCTACGGGCGACCTGTAAATAAAAAATGAATAACATTTTAAAAAAAATTAAAAAAATAATAAAAATTAATAGAAAAAAATTATTTACCTCCTCGTAAATCTTATCCACTTCAAGAGTGGATAATATGACTGGAGTCCCAGTCTGCTGAGTCAGCTGGGTCTGGCGTTCGTCAACCCGGGCAACAACCTCGTTGTTGATCCGCTCGGATCTACGATCTACAAACTGCCCAGCCTTGTTCCGGTAGGTCCTCTCGTAAAGGTCTTTCAGAGAAGGAAGAACTCCTGTCTCTTTAGCCTAAAAATAATTTTTAAAATTAAATATTAATTTGAAATATTCAAATAGAGTAAAAATTAAATAGTTATTAAAAATCATCTTACCATGTCTAGACGAACTCCCCCGTGAGGTTTTCGACCCGTGGTGTGAAGCATCTTCGTGTTGCCATGCTCATCTCTTGTCACGCGGTTCTCGGAGTTTGTGTGGGAGGTTCTGACCGAGTCCGGCAACCCCCAATATCTGATGAGGCCATCCCACACGTCGAATGTGAAGCAATCGGGTTTCCCGTCGTCGTAACCATCCACCTGAACAAAAAATAATTAAAATTAATTAAAATCAATAAGTGATTTAAAACTATATATATATATATATAATTTATAAATCCACACCTGAAAGTCGCCCTTCCGGTTGTAGACCATGTCGAGTAATCGTGCTCTTGCCTTCGCCTCAAACTCCGTCTTCCCCCGCTGGTGAATCCCTATAGACCAACGATATTTTTGCTGTAACTAGAAAAAAATAAGAGACGGATTAGTTCAATAATATTAATAATTTTAAATAATTAAAATAAATTAAGTTGATTAATTAAACTTACAGCGAACGATTTGAACCACGTCTTTTTTTTTGTGTGTGGCTGGGCGTCTTCTTCCAGTTTGGAGCTGCATCAGGAAAGTATCCCTCGATACAATCCGTGACGCTCTGAGCGACACATCCGTCAAGACCAAACCTGGAAAGACACAAAATAAAACCTTAATTAGATTAATTTTTAATTGTTAATTAAGAAATAAGTTAAAAATGCTTTTTAAAAATTAAAACATACCATAATATGTTATGGCCGTCCCGTCAGATAGGATCTAACTCTGGCAGCCCTTCTCTGCCTAGAAGGGCCATAATATCCTCCACCGTATATAAACCGCAAATGGTGCGTTTGGCGGCACCTACAAAACGGGATGAATCCCGACCGGTGGAGGAGGAGGAGGAGGAGGTGGAGGTTGTTGGTCAGACCGGGACGCCGTAGAAACTCCCTGAGTCTCGGAAACAGCGTCATGATCCGGAATAGAAGAACCGGGAGCAGACGAAGATGATGCGCCTGGGTGACGACCGAAAAGATCTCCGTAGTGACTCCCCTGAAGAGGCCTCTTAGCCTTAGCAATCTTTCTCTGACTAGGCATCTAAATTTTTTTAAAAAAATCAAAACATTAATTCCCGTATAATTTAAAAAAACAGTTAAAAAAAGTAAACCAACCTAATCTAAATTACCTAAACTAACCACCTAATCTAAATTCCCTAAACTAACCACCTAATCTAAATTCCCTAATCTAATCACCTAACTAGGAAATAGAGATAACCTTAAGAGGATTCAGAGAGAAGCTTACTACAAATGAGAGAAATCGGATGGCTCGAGTTTATATAAGGAATTTTTGTTTCCTCGTAAGGTCCTAGTAACATTACTAAGACTTTACGAGGAAATAGCTATGCCCGTGTTTTTATTTCCTCGTAAAGTCCTAGTAATACCATTACTAGGACTTTACGAGGAAACAGCTATGCCCGCGTTTGCTGTCACTAGGGATTACGAGGAAAGGGTTTGTAAATCCTTCAATTCGAAAACCCAAACCCCAAACCACAACTTCCTTAACTTATAACCTCTTCTACAACCAAACTCCTAACCTCTTCTACACATAAACCCCAAATCCAAATTAATTTTGTGATTAAACAAACTTAAAAATATATAATCCAATTTTTTTTTGTGATTAAACAAACTTATAAACATACATAATTCATTCAGATACATTCTCGTAATCTGTGGAAACATCATCATTTTCGTAAAACTCGTCCTCTACACCTTCCATTGAGTGATCAGGAACATCTTCGTATTCACGATTATGCGGATCAATGAGTAGGATGTCATCAATTTCTGCTTCAGGTTCCTCGATCTCATTGGTGTTTTCTTCTTGTAATGGTGGTTCTTCTCCAGCGATTATTTGTCCTCGAGGTGTCACTTTGAT